AAAACAATAATATAGCCAATGTATTATTATTATTAGACGAGTGTGGCTGTATTGGTATTTATGTATTGTAAATCAATGTGAACCAGTGATAATAAGTGCCTATACTMARAGATATAGCGGATAATGGAACGTGGTTTTCATACTGATGTATTTTTGAAATACCAAATATAAACCGGTAATAGTCGGTGCAGTATACTCGTACAAAMACATTATGAGTACGCTTCAGGATTTCTAAAATCGGCAAAATCGTCAATACAATAATTATACAATGAATTACATATAATGTATATGTTATATGTGTGTGCAGAGGTGAAGTGTACTCCAGTGGCGTATTTAAGGGGGTTTGGGGGTTAAATGATTAGAATTTAAAAAGGAGTGTTGAATTATTAATTTTTTTTTACAACCCCCCTCCCTTCAGAAATTAATTTCTATATTCACCACTGGTGTACACTATATTGTAATATATATATTATTGTATATAAATATATATATATAGATATATATAGATATAGATATAGATATAACATACATCGTATAATAATACATTGGTATTGGTTTTCCATTATATTTAATTTACGGATTTCCRTATAGGGGAAGTGAATATTATGTAAGCTGTAAAACTAGTAGTAAATTAAATTATATTGTTGTTGATAGAAATAATATTTTCTTATTTCGACGATAATATTGAAAATTTACAATATATCCATCTATCAGGCCATTGCGCATACCTGTATATATTATAAGCTTATGAAAAAACGAATTACATACACTGTAAATTTAATTTTAACAACCACGGTAAAGCTGCAAAAACTACAGAAGCTATATGTACGTGTCGTTGGTGTTCATTCAAACGTATGTTTGTCTGACTATCGAACATATATATTTTTTTAAATATTAACATGACAAATGAGCCATGTAGATGTATCATATTATATAGCTCTGTGATATTATGCAACCATATTATGTATTATCATACGGAAATACTACGAATAAAATCCTGTGTTGACCTACATAATGCTTACATAACATTTTAAAAATTAACCCATAGGCTATAACTTATRMACAGTTATATTTTATTTTATTATTGTTAAAAGTTATATCTATTAGATATCAAATKTATAAAATTAACATATCTACAACCTTCCTGAACAGATTGAAATGGTCAAATTATACGTGAATGAATTATAAGTTTGAYGAAATAAAAAAACGAATCAATTTATTTCATAAATAATCTACTAAARCTGTTAATTATAATTAATATGATGGATAACTCTGATAAAAAGTTATTTTTAATAAGTTTATGTTAGYTAGATATGATTATGCGATAAGCGATATGCATAATGAAAAATAACCTTTGGGGAAATTGTTAATTGATCATTTAAAAAATGTTCATGACATTTTTGGCATAAAGGATTTCATGAAAAAAATTATTTAAAAGCTAAGTWCTTCACGATATCATTTAGAAATAAACAGTAGTAAACAATAGTGAATAAATAAATAAATAAACATAGTAGGCAACTATTATAGTTCTGTAATAAGATTTTTTTATAGCCAGAGTACAGTTTTTTTTAATTTCTGATAAGAATTATGAAAATTCACTGTCGTTATTTTAAACGTTAAAACTTAATGTAAATTTAATAGGTTTGCAATTCAATCATATGGTTTTTGAAACAAATTTATATTMCGAAATTTCTTAAATGGTCCTAGAATATAGGTACCTAATAATACCTATAATACTTGATTTAGAACTATAATAAAATAATGAATATGATGAGATTTTAAAAAATGATTTATTTTAAAAATGTATTAAGACCACAAATTTCTAATAGCAACAATATACATTCTGCAGAATGTACCTATATTTAACAGTTATTGCTTAAATAAAGTTATCCGATACTATATCATGGCTTTGCTTTTATATTTTACTTAATAGTTCCAAATGTTAATATTAAATAAAATTTAAATAAATCGTTTGACCAAAAAACAAAAACGTGATATATTAAAGTAGGATAAGGGAGTTATCAAGTAGTCATATTTATTTTAATATTTCAAATATTTGTAACTACATCAAATAATAATGAGATTAATTTAGAAAAATAATTGAATGTACATATACTCCACAAAATCCCTCTATTGTTAAACATAATGTGTCCCCATAGCTTTAAGATCAATACTCTATGACTACTATTTTGTATTTTGTATTTACTACAGGCTAATAACCTCAGGAGTTGAAGCCTTATTTAAATAAAAAAAAAA